GAGCTCTTCTGTGGAACAAAATAGTTTTGAAAAATTTTGATTTTTCTCAAAGTTGGAGATTTCTTACTTTTAAAATTAAACTGAAAAAAGTTATCTTGTCAATTGATAATATCTTTGATTTCTTTTGAGTTTATACCATTTTAAAAAGTGTGCAATTCCTGAATATATTGTTTTATTTTGAAATATTTATATATATTCTTTAGTTGTTAAACGTTATTTTATGTTTTGAAATATCTGGTTTGGTTTAAATTTTATTTCTAAATGTCAATTATTCTAATTATTTAACTGGTTATATTTTTACTGCATTGTTAATCGGTTCTCAGTGAAAGTATCTTACAATCCTCTTTGAGTCTCCATGTTCTGGTATTTAATGCACAACGACATTTATACTATAATATATTGTGATAAGAACAAAAAAAAAGAAAAAGAAATGATTTCTGCATCACCTAAATATGCAAACTTTCAAGATATAATTTAACATAAAAAAGTTGAATGTTACAACCAAATTTTGATAATCTTAAATTTTAGGTAGTTACTTCTGAAAGTAGTAATAATTAAAAATCAAAACTAATTGGGCCGTGGTTGTATAGGGCCGTAGTTTTGCAGGAGTTGTGTGGAGTTAAGTTTGTTCAGGATTGTGAGCAATCTCTCGCCATTAGGCTTGTACTAAGACAAAAATTTAAGTTCTTCATTTAAAATCTATTAATATATTTTAAGTTTATTTATGCCTCAAATTCCCTTGCCCTTTTCTAAAAAGCAGCCGTGTTGCAGTGGTTAGAGCGCTTGCTTTAGAAGCAAGAGAAGTTTTTATGCGAGCTCTAGCATATTTTGCGTCATCGTATTAAAGGAGGCATGAACTTCCTATTTAAATACTCTTCCACAATGCTCTGTTAGGTCTTTTTGAGGTGCCTAAAACAAATATATATATATATATATATATATATATATATATATATATATATATATATATATATATATATATATATATATATATATATATATATATATATATACATATATATATATATACATTAGGGTGTATATATATATATATATATATATATATATATATATATATATATATATATATATATATATATATACATTAGGGTGGGTCATAAATTTTTTTTTTCTTGTCACAGGCTCTAAACATTGCTAATAGTTATTAATATTGATACTATCAAATATGAGAATGATTGTGATAGATTTAAAGGACGCAACTTTATTGGGAAAATTAACGGTACCCTAATATTTTAGAGAAAAAAAGTTTTTCAAAAGTAGGTCAACCTGGTACTCAAAAGAAGCGAAATTTTATAAATTTGAAAATGCACCTTTTTCACTTTTAGTTAAAAAACTATAGTTATTATGCAATAAAATCTAAAATAATAATTTTTATATTATTTTTATTATTTTTGAAATTTTTATAAAATTTCGCTTTATTTAAGTACCTACATCACATAATTTTGAAAAACTTTTTTTTTGAATAATAATAGGGCCTGCTAATTTTTGTAATTATAGTTGCGGATGGAAGACATTGTTCAATCCATAAAAGTAAATACTTTCCTAAATTAGTACATAAAAAAACAACTTTCTAGCAATGTTTAGAGCCTGTAATAAGAAAAAAAAATTTTATGACCCACCCTAATATATATATATATATATATATATATATATATATATATATATATATATATATATATATATATATATATATATATATATATATATATATAGATATATATATATATATATATATATATATATATATATATGTACATATATATATATATATATATATATATATATATATATATATATATATATATATATATATATATATATATATATATATATATATATATATATATATATATATAGATATATATATATATATATATATATATATATATATATATATATATATATATAGATATATATATATATATATATATATATATATATATATATATATATATATATATATATATGTATATATATATATATAGATATATATAGATATATATATATATATATATATATAAATATATATATATTAATATATATATATATATATATATATATATATATATATATATATATATATATATATATATATGTATATATATATATATATATATATATATAATATACCGTTTAAGCATTTGAGTTCGAACATTAGGCAAGTTTTGCTCAATGTGCCAACTGAAATGCTTTTTGAGTTGGCATTTTGCCGACTATATTTATATTAAAGTTATAGTTGGCAAATTTAAATATAAATATAGTTTGCTATATTTATAGTTGGCAAATTGCAAGTATTGAGGGCTTTTTTATATATATATATATATAATCTAGTAATAAAGTTTTTGAATATTTTGTTTTCTATATATTAAAATTTGTTGAAAATCAAAATTAATATTATAATAAAGCATATCTCATATATGTTATAAGTTTAAACAATCTTTAAATTTATTCTATACGCAAAAATTATTTAATTATTTATAGGACTAATGAATAACTTCTAAAAATAAAGAACAGATTAAAGAAAGGTGAAAATAAATAAAAACGTCAACGTTATTTATGAAAGATTTCTTTTCTTCCAAGCAAAAACATTAATAAGATATTTAAAGTTATCTTATTATGTGGTTATTGTTTTTTTGTTTTTTTTTCTTAAATACTCATTTGAGCGAATTTTTTATAATTCTTTTTTTTGTCAGTAATATTGTTAATAACATATATATCTTTATTTATCATATATATCTTAAAAATTTATCTTTATAAACTTTGTTTTAGGTTTTAATTAATTTGGATTTATTTTAGAGTATTTTTACTGTTTTCACCAAGCTTAGTCAGCAAAATTATACCAAAATTATTACCAAAAAGTCAGTTTAAGCTTAAATCATAGATATTAAATTTAAATAAAAAACAATTTAAATATAGTTCTGCGGATATGTTATTACATAAAGCAAAAAGCGTAATATATCAATTTAAATATTAAAAAAAGTTTTGATTGTTCTTTTTTTTTTACAAAAAGATATAACATCAAAGTTGTTCTTGAAATGAAATGACATACTCGGTGTTTTGTAATGGTTTAACAACAACAACAACAAAAACTTGCTAGTTTGTGTATTTCAAGCACTCACTTCTTTTGTTTTTTTGGAAGGTTTAACTTTGTTAAACAAAGCTCAACAATATATTATTTATACCCCGGTGAACAACTTAATAACAAACGCGACTTTTACTAAATAAGTACGAACTGCCATTATTTTACATTCGGCGAAATGTTGCATATCTTTTGAACAGTTTTGCGTGTTTGATCGTAAGCTTTGAAATTGAAGAAACTTTTTATTTAATTTTTCTAAGTACATATTTATGCTGAGTAATGAGAAATTGTTTTGCGCAATTATTAAAGATTTTACAACAAAAGGAACAGATTTTCCCCTCAACCCCTATTTTTTAAAACCAATAATTTTCCTTAACAAATAAAATATCGAAACCATTTGTTAGAAATAAGTTGTAATTAGATAAGTTTTTGCAACGTAAGGTGAAATCCTTTTTCTCGTTTGTTTTGTTTTATTTTTCAATTCCAAATAAACAAAGTGTTAAAAAATAAATGTCTTACATAACTCGGATTATTCCCCATTATTTAATAATTTATGCGTACAAAAGAAAGTTATGCGTACCAAGTAAAGAAAAATCATAAGGGTGAACTTTATTTTCTTGTTGAGAGATTGTTTTTTTGATAAAAAATAAAAAATAAAAAATGAATTACTATATTAATACTCATATAACCTTCATCAGAAAAAACAAAAGTTAATATTTATTATATGAATAGGTATTTTTTTTTTTTTTCTTAAAAATTTATAAAAAAAAGTTTAATGCACTTTGACAAGATTTTATTTTCTGCTGGCGGAACAAACCAGCAGGACAGCTTGTAAAAAAAAAAAGCACTTCTATCGATTTATATTTTTGTGATAATCGTGTTGCTCAGCACCCGCGAACTTTTCTATATCAAGAATAAGTTATAGCTTGCAGTTATTTGAAAACAAGGTTTCTTTGCAAGCTGGAGAAGAAAATAAGAAGAACTATTTATTGAAATAAGCTTTACAATGGATTTCATTTTGATTTGAAAGACATAAATAAAAATCGAGAGAGTTTTTTAAGTTAAAAAAAAAAAAAAGAAAAGAAATTGAAACGGATAACAAAACGTGATATGTACAAGCTTTTTATACGAATGATAAAAGAATAAGAAAAATTTTAATATTTGCAAATTTAAAAAAAATAATGCTTCTTTATTGAAATTTGATTTGAGTTGTTTATGCGCTATTATAATTTTTTAATTTTTAAAAATTAAACACACTCTCTCTCACACACACACTCACTCACACACACACACACACACACACACACACACACACACACACGCACACATACACACACTCAACTGTAATTAATAATATTTTTCAGTTACTTTTTATTGATAATTTTGTTACCACATATATTAAAACTGGTGAGTATAAAGAGTTCATCGGTGTTTACAAGTGTTTTTTTACCACGATATGCAATATTTAGAATTTAAATTAGTACATTCATATACAATTTAAATTAGTGTAGACTAATAAACTATTGTACATATAACAGGTGTGTAGTAATGCAAGTAATTCGTTTGCGTGACAATCATATAAATGCATAGACAAATTTATATATATATATATATATATATATATATATATATATATATATATATATATATATATATATATATATATATATATATATATATATATATATATATATATATATATATATATATATATATATATATATATATATATATATATATATATCTAGTATATATATATCTAGTATATGTATATATAATATATGTATATATTCTATATGTATATATACAATTAGTATTTTTTAGATAATGTTGATTTTAGTTAGATTGATTCCGATTTGTTTTAATTATTTTAAAAATATTTATAGTATTTTTTCTTTAGATTTTAAATTAATAAAAAGGTTATAAAATGGGAAAGAAAAACAGCAAAATTCCGGCTGAAGTTTTAGCAAACTTGCAAGGTTGTACAGCTTTTAACGACGAAGAGTTATCAAAATGGTACAAAGGTTTTATGAAGGATTGTCCACGAGGTAAAATGACAAAGAACGAGTTTGAAAGCATCTATAAAAACTTTTTTAAAGAAGGAGATGCCTCTAAATTTGCTAGTCATGTTTTCAGAACATTTGATAAAGACGGAGATCAAACAATCGACTTTTACGAGTTTATGTGTGGTTTATCAATAACATGTCACGGAAGTCGAGAAGATAAATTAAGATGGGCTTTTAACATGTATGATATCAATAAATCTGGAACAATAACAGAGGACGAACTTTATGAGATCATAAAATCAATATATAGTATGATGGCAGATGATGCGAAAATGAACGAAGACGAAGAAGATCTTCCTGAAAGACTCTCGGAAAGGTTATTTTTACAAATGGATGAAGATGGTGATGGAGAAATTACTATAGATGAGTTTATTGGTGCAGCTAAAAACGATGCTACAATTTTGAAATTACTTCAGCAACAATATTGACATATTTTTAAAATAAAAAGCTAAATTGGGAGTCAAAACTACGACTATTGTGATTTTGTTGCTGTTTTTGTTATTCTAAATGTTGTTACTATTATCTTTGTTTCTAATGTTATAAAATTTTTATAGTCACTGTCGCCTTTGTCGTAATTTTTGTACAACATAATCAACGTAACTGGTGCTAGAATAAAGCTTTTTATTAAGAGTTATTTATTTGAAGATAATTATACGTCTTTACGTAACAAGTTGTAACTTCAATTATACGTCATTATATAAAAAGTTGAAACTTAAATTTTGCGTCACGGCATAACTAATTGTAACTTTAGTATTACACTACGTAGATTCAATTATACGTCACTGTATAATTAGTTGTAACTTCAATTACTTGTCACTGTGTAATGTGTTTTAACTTCGCTTATACGTCAATGCGTAAAAAGTAATTGCTTCAAACTAAAGTTGTAGAAGATGCGCTTCAGTAGTATATAAAAACATCAATATATTTTTATTAATGAAACATACATCTCCTTTTAAAAATTATATTTGTTAACGGTTTTATTTAAAAATAACTTATTTACATCATAAATATTTTTTAGTCCTTTTGTCATTCTTCCTCGGTGTTTTCTTTGCTGTGTTGTACTCCATAAAATAGATAAATCAATAAACCTAAAGATAGAAAATAAAAATAAGTTTAAAGTTTTGTACTGCAAAACAATTTTTATTCATTTATTGTATAATTGAGTACCGTAAAATAGAGGTGACTAACAGATTCTAGTTTATTATTGATACATGCACTAAATTAACTTTTAAAGCATAATTGCTTGATTTTCTATTGATTAGGAAGCATTTTTGTAACTGGGTTCTAAAAATATATTTGATAACTTTAGTCCCAAGTTAAAATTTAATGATAAAAACAGGTAAACTATAGTTTTACAGATTATTGTCACGTAAGGTAATGATAAAAATAAAAAACGTTTTATTACTAATGCAATAGAAAATCAAATGTTTGTATTACGTCACTAAATCAGTATGAAAGTCTTGTGAAAATTTTTCAGTGTCAGTTTGAAAATACAAATTTTTAAACTAAATGATAGAAGCAAAATATTAACTGTTCTTTAAAACAGTTATATAACGTATTTAAAATATTATAAAGTAATAAAAGTATTATTACTTATTAAAACTATTATAACATTAAAACAATTAAAATGTTTTAAATGACTTAAAATCTTTTTATTGCCTCAAAAGCAAGCATCTTCAAAAAACTAAATATTAGAAAAACATTAGAAAAAAGACAAAACATCCAATTGAGTCTTATTCTTCACTGGTTTATATGTCAAATGGTGACAACTAATATTTATATCTGCATAAGAATATCTTTAAGATTTATAAGGTCATCAAAATCGACTTTTGTAAGATTTATAAGGTCATTAACATCGACTTTTATAAGATTTATAAGGTCATCAACATCGACTTTTATAAGATTTATAAGGCCATCAACATCGACTTTTATAAGATTTATAAGGTCATCAACATCGACTTTTATAAGATTTATAAGGTCATCAACATCGACTTTTATAAGATTTATAAGGTCATCAACATTGACTTTTATAAGATTTATAAGGTCATCAAAATCAACTTTTATAAGATTTGTAAGGTCATCAAAATCGACTTTTATAAGATTTATAAGGTCTTATAATGAAGTTATCAGGTGGACGCAGAAAAATCCAATCAACTTTGAATTGATATTTCCCCAAAACCACAAATGGTTTTTATTTCTTTTATTTTTTTAATTAAATGTTACTTTCTTATCTTTAATTGTGTTGATAAACTTTTGTTTACAAGTAAATGATTTGCAAAATGTTTCGGAAACAAATTGAGGTACGTAAAAAAGTTGTGAATTTTTTGGCAAAAATCCATCAACTTTATATCGCTTAATTGCTAAACGTACAAATGTCCCAAAATTTACAGTCATAGATATTATTAACAAGTTTAAGGCTACTCAAATCTCTGAAAGAAAACCTGGAAGTTAAAGAAAGAAAACTTTCTATAAATCCGAGGAATTATAATGAAGTACATCGATGCAACATAGGCTGTTATAACAAACTAAAGAACAGGTTTTTTGACTTGATATTCTTCGAAAATTTTCTCTTTACTTGTTTTAAGCGTTTAAAAATTAACCTTTTTTACCAACTTACTTACCAACTTACCACCTTAAAAGACTCAAGAAGGAAATTTCATAATTAAAAATTACTTATTTTCACATTAAAAAAGTGTATTATTGTATCATAACAAATAACATAGCAATTGTTGCATTATTCGTATACTTTACGAATTTGACGCAGCTATTAGGTGTTTCTTACTTTAGACCGATGCAAATTAACTAGCGCAAACTTTTATTTCAATGAGACAACAAAGAATAAGAAGCGCAAGTTGCTTACTAACGATTAATTTTTCACTTGGCACACCTGATGGAAGAGACGCCAAAGTCTCAAGTCTTTTTCCAAAGAAACCACAATGCAGGTGTGATGCTAAATGGCATTGAGATCATAAATGTCTAAAAATTGAAATGATTTAATTACGTCCGAGAAAATAAAACTAATTTTAAATTTTCTTTATTTTGCACATAATTCAGAAATGACAGCATACAATATTTTTTGCATTTTTACAGTACACAAAAAATAATAAAAAAGGTTTATCTCTTAATTTTAAAATTGCTACTATATATTTAAGTATTTTTGGCAATACAATTAAATATTTATAGTTAACCTGGATAATTTTATATTTAAAATGCGTTGTAAACATATTTAACTGATGCGAACAACATTTTTAAGTTATAGATTAAATTTATTAAATATTTTAAAGTATTACAAATAAAGTTTGAAAATTTTGCTTTGGCAGAAATTTTTATTTTCCATCAAATTGTTGGCATTAAATTCAGAAAAAAAAGCATGTTCTTTCATCAACATTTCTGATTATTCGTCGCACTTTTGTCTTCTCAAAAATTAAGCTAAAAATGCCAAATTATTATAGAAATCAACAACTTTGTGAATGTCTTATTTGCCAAATAGGACGTTTAAAGTTAAAGGAAAAGCATCCATTGGAAACTACGTAAAAGCCACCAACTAGCTCAACAGTGAGAAGATGTTCAACCTGCCTCACAATTCTCGGCAAAGGATTGCTTCATAAATGTTCAACTTCAACATTTAGAGAGAATATTTATCAACTGGCTTCAAAAGATTTAAAAGTTGCAGATGAAATTGCTTGCTCAGCCATCCAAAGTAAAGAAGCTTCTCCGTTTGGTAATGTGAGATTGATGCAGGTGGCAACCCCCTTGCTCTTACTCCAGGTATAAAAATATTTTAACTAAGAGTAATTAAATTATTTTTTTAAAGAATTTGAGCAAAATCTATGTTCTTATTTTAGGCCCTTCAAGTTTCAGGCAACTTTTTGATGATAAACCTAATGTCACTGCAAAAGATCTTGCTCAAGCAAACACCGGGATGTCTAATGCTGGAGTTAAAAAAATGATTACAATACTGAATCAAAGTATCCAAAGTCAAGATTTCGGAGCCTAATATCAATGCAAAGTTCGTAGAACTTGGAAAGAGCCTTGCTGAACATTTTCATTTTCATTTGTACAAAATACTGAGGGAATGCTGGCCCAAAGCAGACAATTAGTTGATGGCGCTTTATATCCAACCCCAGTCATACCATAGAGGTCAGTTTGCAGGCAATAATTGTCACAAGCTTCTAAAAAATGTAGATCTATTTCTTGTTGTTTTTTTTTTCTTTTTTATTTTGTTATTTAGGTGCCCCAAGAAGACCTAACGGTCTTGTCACAGAGCACCGCGGGTGTGCATTTAACTAGGAAGTTCACGCCTCCTTCCTTACCGTGACGCGAAAATATGTCCAGAGCTCGTTTCGAACCTGGATCTCCTGCTTCTAAAGCAAGCGTTCTAATCACTGCGCCACGGCCGCACAAAGCCTTGCTGAAAAAAGTTCAGACTGCACATTTCAAGCGCTCTAACCACTGCGCCACGGCCGCACAAAGCCTTGCTGAAAAAGGTTCACGGCCGCACATTTCAAAGCCTTGCTAAAAAAAGTTCAGCATTTCAAATTTTTGGCATAGTAAAGGCATTTCAAGCATTCAGTGCTGTTGTTTCAGCATGCTTTGGGAAAAAACTGGATGAGTCATTTGCAAGAAAATTGATGATTTTTGTAATTTATCATTTTTTGCTCTCCAAAAGGGAAGTGTGACTCCAAAAGTTCATACCGTTTTTTTCTACATCAAAGACTTCATCAAGATGACCAACCAGCCCCTTGGTATTTATAGTGAAAAAAGTGTCGAGAACCTTCACAGTCGATTTCAATCACATTGGTAAAGGTACGAAAGGCCGATCAATCATCCGGAGTATGGAAAACTTCTTCAAGCATGTGTTGTTGACCTCAACAGCAAAAGTGTTTGAAAAAACAGTGTTATTCACCTATTCATACTCGGACGTAATTAAACCAATTTCAATTTTTTGACATTTATGATCCTAATGCCATGTAGTATCACACCTGCATTGTGGTTTCTTTGGAAAAAGACTTGAGACTTTGGCGTCTCTCCCATTAGGTGTGTAGGCGCAATGCGTTTTTTAAACGTTCTTGGGACGCTTTTATTAGGTTTTAACGTTCAAAGAATTCTTATAGAAACTTAGGTCTGAAAATTTAAAGAAAGAAAACTTTAGAAACCTTATTTGATGTTAAAGTTTAAAAAAATAAGTCTGAAAAATGTTCAAAAAATATCTTAAAACGACAAATAAGATAAAAGACGTAAATAAAAAAGGTTTTTTGGAGTTTGTTTAACGTTCTGAGTAATAGAATCATTTATAACTTATTATTTAGTCGTCTAATACATTTTTCGCAATGTTAGCTGATTTTTCTTCTAGTTGTATTCAAATAATTATATATAAAACTTGACGCTACCCAATTCCCCCCTCCCCCTATTCCTTCCCTCTTCAATCCTATTTGATATGTTGATTATATAAAAAAATACTTCTGAAAATTTATATATTATACGTATAAAAAAATACTTCTGAAAATTTAAGAAATGCACTTCAATTTTAGGTTAACGTTTAAAAAATTTACAGACATAATAAAAAGGATAAGACTTTGAGTTGAGTGGCGAGTAACACGAGAATGAGTATTAGGTGGAAAAAATGTCGCTAGCTATTTAGAACAGTACCCATGATAGTACTTATAAAAAAAAGGAAGTGAAGCAACATTAAATTAATGTGACAATGATTGAAGGTTAGTGGCAAGAGCAGGTCCAACTATGTTTACGATGCGTTTTTGTACCTTGTCTAAAAGAGAAAAGACACCATTCAAAGATCCGCTCTAGATATGGCAACAGTTTTTAATACAAGGACGGACTGGAGGTTTATATAGATAAAGAATAAAACCTGGAGTAAAAAAACGACAAGTGCGATGAGCAGATGTAACTTAACAGATGCTAGTTTTGCAATGGACTTAATATATGGTTTTTAAGAAAGATCGGAATAAGAGTTAATCCTATAAGACAAAAAGTAGAATCATTGAGTACATTAGCATAAATTACATACATTAGCATTATTACGTACATTACCGTTCATAAATTTAAGAAAATCTGCGCTGTTACGATAACA